TGACATTGAGACGTTTTCACATGCATTTCTAATCTCTATATACATGACTATCACTGGTCACAGTCGCCCACCTTCTGAGCTCCTCAGCATCTGAGCATGAATACAAACTCGTCAGATAGACAGCCTTCCTCTCCCACCACAACTCCTTTTAAACATAGTGGCCTGCTTATTTCTTGGTGTGAAATTCAAGTGTTTTACAGGTTGATAGCATCTCCAAACCACACACTTGCAGAATTCTATTTTTAAAAGGTGTTTCCATGTAAAAGTACTTACACATTTTATTGCTTTTTAAGTAGCAGGACAGTCTTGAAAGCATGTGACCTGGTATGACTGTATCCCCAAGAGCCTGTTGGTTTCTCTCTCATGCTTATTTTCCCAGTTGAGACTAGTTAGTTAGAAGGGATATAAGCCCCTCATCCCGTGAAAGTAAATTCATTCTTCTGAATGTTTGTTCATTTGATAATCAACAAGCAGTTTAAAAATGTGTCCATATGACACATTTGTAATTTTTAGAGTTCTTTCTGAACAAACAGATCAAGAATTACTAGAAAATAGATTTTTTAATCAGTTTTTTTTTTTTATTTAATAACCACATGATTAGAAGAAGCATTTCATTACAGCTTTAACATATTCAATAGCAATCCAGAGCAAGAGATGCATCTCTTTCAAAATTGGCTGCAAATTTTTAGCTTCACAGTTGAATTAATACAGTTATACAGTATTGAACTCAGTACAAACCCTGTAAGACATAAAATTGAATGAGTTTTTAACCTTTAAAAAAGATCTCCATTTCATTTTAGAATATATTGTTCCTTGCAGAAAGACTCATTGTTTTTGCTACTAACACTGGGATGTTGGCTAGAAAATAGATTTTCGAAGTCTGTGGAGTTCCCAGAATTTCATATTTTGGTGAAATGTGATCCCCCCCCATAATTTCAGGAAAATAGGGCCTTGGAAAAAACGTACTTTAGAAATAGCTCTTTCTTTTATCTAAAGCAGAGAGAAAGTGGAATTTTTAAGCAGACCATTCCTTATCTTTTCTATAGCATAAATTGTTCGTTTGAGGTGTTTTCCCCTTTTCTGCCAAAGTTGAGAAGGTGTTTTCATGGGCAGCTGGCAGATTTTCACCATTTTGTTTATCAAAGCATTTTGAAAACAGAAGCTGAGCAACGTGGTTTCTAACAAGCTGGACCAGTTTCTACTTCACTAATGTCTCTTCTGTAAAGATGTTAAGAAAAAAATTATGTGTATAGGAAAAATGAATTAAGGGCTGGGGAGATGGCTCATTGGGTAAAGCATTCGCCGTGCTATCCTGGAGACCTGGGTTTGAAACCCCAGAACTCACATAAAGCTGGAAACTGTGAATTAAACTGATGTGTCATCATGTTCAGGAAGCATCCCCATTTCAAAGATGCCAGGATACTAAAAAGTATGTACTCTGGACTTGATGAAAACATGGGTTAAGAAAGACTGTATACCCCTGACTAAAGTTGTAGCCATTAGAAATCTTGTAACCCAGGCATTTGATGAGAAAAAGTCATTCAGTCATCTCTCTCCACTGTTTGTTTCCCTGTTACTTAGTGCTTGTAGGCTCATACCATGTGCTTTATATATGTTCCACAGGTATTATTGGGATAGTGGAATAGGTAGCTCTTACTATCCTTATCCATCTTTCTTGGCAGTTCTGATACACGATTTGCAATTACATTGAACAACAAGGATGCCCTCACTGGAGATGAAGAGACCTTGGCTTCGTATGGGATTGTTTCTGGGGACTTGATATGTTTGGTTCTTGAAGATGCCATGCCACGACCTAACTTACCTTCATCCACAGATTCAGAGCATTCCTCACTCCAGAATAATGACCAACCCTCTTTGGCTGCCAGCTCAAATCAGGCTAGCATCCCGGATGAACAGTGGAGTGATTCAGCACAAGGCCTGCCTGCCCAGTCTGATGCCTGGAACGATAACAGTGTGGTAGGTATTGAAGATGAAGGGATGAAATAGAGTAGTTGCTAAACCAGCTCAATACTTCAGCTGAATTTTGCACTAGTCTGGACAATTAGCATCAGTAAATTGCAGATTGTGCTCTTTTTGAACATTTTCTTTTTTTTTTTTAGTTATCCTGATCTAGTCAAAAAAAGTGCATTCTTTTTTTTTTTGGTTATTTATTATTTTTATTTTATGTGTATAAGTGCTGCATGTAAGTGAGTGCACCAGTGTTGTGCAATGCTGCCGAGGTCAGAAGAGGCCTTCAGATTCCCCTAGAACTGGAGTTAAGAACAGTTCGTAGCCGCCGTGTCGGTGCTGGGAATTGAACCTGGATCCTTGGCAATAGCAGTCAGTGCTTTTAACCACTGAGCTATCTCTCTAGCCCCTGCCATTTTCTTTTTCATCTTCTAAATGCGTGGACCAGTATTGGGCTGGCATTCTGACATAATGGCTTTGCCCGGCTTTGTCCAGATGCTTCTTCAGACCATGTGTTTTTCTGTGCTTTCTGAGCTTATTTCCTACTTTTCATCTTTGGGCTATTCTACTTATTAAGGTTGTATGTTATAGTATAATCATTTGCAAATGATTTGCTGGACTTTTAAATTGTTGCCATAGACTCCATGTCCAAAGTAAATTTGGAAATAATGTGTGGCAGCATTCCCTCCTCCCCCCAGCAGCACTGCTGATGTCTCTGCCTTTTGACTCCTGTGTCCAACCCATTGGCAAGCCTTAGCAGGCCTCTCTTCCATCCCAGGATGCCAGGTTCTGTTCTTCAGTTCACTTTCTAGGCTCATTGTCGTCCTTTCTTACTGTGTCTCTCTTGCCCATTAGTAACTGTCAGAGATGCACATCATTTTGGAATCAGTATCTCTAGTCCAACCATGTCATTTCACAGAAGAGAAAGTCTTTTCATCTTGTACCTAGTATTCAAGACTTTCTGAAAGTTGTCCCACCCAGCCTCGCCAGAACCAGTTTCTGCTCTTTCCTCTCAGTGGTCCTCTCTAGTCAGAACAGAGTCCTGATCTTTCTCTTCCCCATTCATATGCTCACACATGGAGGTGTACAGGCAGGTGACGCTGTGATCAGTGTCTGGAGGCCTGGTGTCCTTGCTCTTGCTGTTCACCTGGATTAGATCCCCTGCTCCTCTTTCTGCTGTCTGTATTTCTGCCTGTCTTCCAAGGCCCTTGCCAATGACAGTCCAATAATTTAAAACTTTTTCTTTGTATTGAATACTTTTATTACTTTGTAAGTACCTAATTCTTTATTAACCTCCCTTTAATACCTTGTATAGTACACCTTGAAGTGCTAACACATAGCATTCTTCATTGTTTTTTGTGTATATTCTTATCACTTCAATTTAATTTCTTCTTCAGGCCTTAAACATTGAGTCATGATATTAAGTATAGACAGATGTTAAAAAATACTTAATAGATTGATAAATTGTGAAAGTAATTTCCAGATATAAAAACTTTAATTTTTTTAAAAGACTTTTTAATTATTTACAAATTATTCTTATCTCTTGTGTTTCTGCTTCCTAGAGGCAGTCTAAGAATGAAGAAGGCTGTATGGCTGTGCATTTAAATTATATCCAAGTCTGTTTGTACTGACAGACTCATTTAGAGATAAACCTAGACAGAAGACCCTATGCCCTTTACTTCTATGTACATAAAAATCTAAGATGGAGCTTTTTATAGTATGTGGCTAGTTTGCCAATTTTCCTTTGGAAAATTTTGAGAAGCTAATGGTACCTCAAGGTAGTAATGTCAGTTCCAAGATGTATTTTAACGTTTTTTTTTTTTTGTTGTTGTTGTTGTTGTTATTGTTGTTGTTGTTTTTTTTCCTTACTTGAGACAGGGTCTCAATATGTAGCCCTAGCTGGCCTAGAACTCTGTTTGGTAGACCATCCCAGGCTAGTCTTGATCTCACACAGTGATCCACCTGCCTCTGCCTCCCAAGTGCTGGGATTTAAGGTGTGTGCCACCATGCCTGGCCCATATTAGAAGGTCTTTATAGGGCAACTGTGAAACCTTAGCATGGAACCTGAGCTTGAACTCTTATAAACAATGCTTGAAGTCCTTGAAACAGTATGCTCTGCTAATTCAATCTAGAAGGTAACCTTAGAAAAGGAAAATAAATAGATGGGCAAAACTCAAAACAAGAGGAGATAAATTTTGTTTTTGTAATAACTTAATTTTATTGTACTTGAAAATTTTCTTTAATGAAGTCTGGGATATCCTAGATCAGAACTGATGTTAGCTTGAACGCAGTTTGGTCACTTGTGGCAAAACGATCTGTTTAGGAAGGTGGTGCTCAGCTTCTTTTCCTTTCTCACACATGGGAAGAAAATGATAAATACTCCTATCAGAATGGTTAGGGCCAGGGCTTCTGGGACTTAGGAGTGAGGTTTGATAAGCCCACCAGGAGGATACAGATATCTTTCACATGTAATTACAGACTCAGGGTAACCTGAGTTAAAATTTTCCACATCTGTTTTGTTTTCATACTGCTGCCTAAGTGTAAATGGCCAAATTTAGGGATGATGAGAAAAAGTAGTGAAGAGATTTCTCATAGTGTAGCTTTTTCTTTTTTTAAATTTTTTTTTGATACAGGATCTTACTATATAGCCCTGGCTGGCCTGGAACTCACTATGAGACCAGACTAGCCTTAAACTCAGAGATCTCTCTGTTTCTGCCTCCTGGGTCCTGGGATTATAGGTGTGTTGCCTACCTGGGTAATACTGTTTTTTAATATGGTAGTTTCTTTTTGTTCAAAGAAAATTATGGAAATGTCTTGTGCAGTAGCACTTTTTAAGTAGTGTGAATTATCATTGGTTTCTTTGTATTAAAATTTCTTTTTTTGAGACAGGAGCTTGCCAGATAGTGCAGGCTGGCCTTGATCTCACAGTTCTCCTGCCTCGGCCTCCCAGATGCAGGAATTACAGGCATGTGCTACCATGCTTGGCTAGCTTTTAGGTTTTGATAAGTTTTGATCTTTCCATAGCCATTAGGCCTTAGCGCTTCAGAGATTTTTCAAAGAATGGCTGTCAGCTTTGGCTCTGTTATAGTCCTTCAGTCTTTCACTCATATGATGTAATTTTAATTTCCTTTACCCCCCTGGAAGTACAACTTTAAAAAGAAGAAACATGTGCTTTGTATTAAGAGTTGAACACAAGCCTAGGAAACGAGCTTTCTGAACAAAATCAGTATAGTAACTTTTATTAGAGCACATTTTACATCTAAAAGCTCTGAACTGTGAATCTGAGAATCTGGGTTCATTTCAAAGTTTTATAAGCTGGTAACCTTGCCTAGTTCTTTAATCTTTCTGAGTCACAATTATACCATCTATAGAAAAGTAGTGTTATATGCCTTGCTTGATGTAGAAGATCACAAGTGAGAAAACGCTTAGAAAACAAAAACATGAAATTGTCCGATTGTCCAGTGTCATCCTTCAGCATTTGTTCTACAGAATTTGTTGAGTATGTGCCATGTGCCAGGTATTGTGTTCTGGTTACTAAATGGGTAATTTATAGTCTGGTTCTTTGTAAGCCTGCAGTCATGGAGAAATGCAGATGTGTGATCCAAAAATAGTCAAACAGTGTGGTAGTGTGCAGTAACCAAGGCTATGACATGCCTTTGTGGTCTGCTGTAGATGTGGGAACACTGCAGTGGATAGGAAAGGACAAGCAGAGATGAACTGCCAGAGTCAGATGATAATGAGCCTTGGATGCTTGGGCATTTGAACTTAATTTTATAGGGTTGCTTTCCTCAGCCTGTCCTCTGAAAAACTTGTTTCATGAGTTTTTAATAAGTATAACAGAGATACTAAGTGTTGGTGAAAACGGTTAATATATCTTAGTTAAATGCACACATTGTTTTTAGACTTCCCAGAACTTTCGTAAGCTTAATACTGGATCTTGTGACCGTAGGTGAGATTAGGCTGACACAGCATGTAGCATAGTTCCCACTTGACCATGTACTAACTTTTTTTCTGACACAACTGTGGGAAATGTTGCCTGTCTTGAAATCCTGATGCGCTTTAAACTGGGACATATAAGACATGATTGGGTTCTTAATTGCCAGGAAAACTGGCAGTGGTGAGTGGAGTGTACTGGGAGACAAGAGATGGAGGTGGGGGTACTTGAGGGAAGACTGTTGCTGGAAGTCAGGAGACACTGTCATGAGAGTCTGAGGTACCAGTGGTATAGGAGGGCAGCTTTAGAGATACTTAGGAGTAATGTTAGTGGAACTGTGAAGACAGATCAGATTTGGGGTACTGTTGTTAAGTATCGGGTGGACTTAAGGATGAATTGCAGGTTTTTAGCCTGTCAAAATAAATGGTGCTATGGGATTCAGGATGGAGAGGTAGGCTTTCGGGCTCAGGTATTTATGACAGCTTCCTTAGAACATCTCCTGTTACTGAGTCCCATGATGTGCTATGGCTTTGAGCACTAAGCTCTGCTCATTTTAGTATATGAAATGTAAGTATTTTAATGAATTTAGTTATTTGTTGTCATCCTTTCAGGAAGGGCCTAGGTACAACGTTGAAGCTGAGTTAGTTCAGGATGTGGCTATGGAAGAAGACTCAGGTTTCTGTCCTTCAGAACCAATGCTCTGCAGTGAAGCAGTGGAGGGGCAGGTGCCTCACTCTCTAGAAATCCTGTATCAGTCAGCAGACTGCTCTAATGCCAGTGACGCCTTGATAGTGCTGGTGCATCTCCTCATGCTCGAGTCTGGCTACATCCCTCAGGTAAGCTCTGCAGCAGTCCAAATGCCTTAGCATGTGGCTCTGGGTATCTTAACCACCAAGGTATGGTGGTGGTCCAGGTTCCTTCATTAAGTGTGGTTGGGGATTGAACATAAAATGCCAAATAACAGTGAGGAGCTATAGTAGGCACTCGTAAGTGCACCCTTCCCATGCTTCTTCTCTTTTCCTTCATTTCCTTTGTTAGCATCAGTTTACAGAGATGATGGTAACTGGTTTAAAAAAAGATAAAAGATTTCTATATGATAATATGCAAATAAAGTGGGGTTAGTGCACGTGGACTGAGTATGACTAGATGTTGGCCCACTAGGTTCTGTTTTATATTGATGACTTTATGCTATAGTTGCTTATCTTCAGTATTTGTTAAGCATCCACTAAGATTAGATGTTTTTTTTTGCTTGTATGTGTGCATGATCCTTGCTTTCCTTTTCCATTGTCTGAGACTGGCAGAGGTAGATACGAATATAAGCCGGTATAGGATGTTGTGTAAGTTCTAAGAGAGACATTTGCACATACAGGGCACCAGGGATTACAGAGAACAGTGGAGCTAAGGAAGACCTAAGATCTCATTAGAACGTAGGCTTTGACTCAGTAAGTCTAGGATGGAGCCTGATCTTCTTCATACCCTTGCATAGCCCCTGTACTGGTGGCCTGTACACATAGCCTGTGGCTGGGCCACGTGATGGGATATAGAGATGGAGAATAATTTACCATCCTTATATGCCTGTGTATGTCATGCACTGAGCCAGAAATTAGGACATAAAAATATTTGACATTCCTTGTCCTCATAGAGGTCACAGGTGGGCAAGAGAGACAGTTGTGATATATTATAAATAATAAATTGACAAAGCGTAACAGATGTGTAACCATAGAAATGTGAACAGAATGTTAGGGAATAACTTTTCTGAGAAGGACTGTACGAAAGAAAGAATATTTAAGTCGGGATCTTGAATAAAATGATTCACCTTTGTAAGGTAGAGACATGAGTCTTTGAAAAGTTAAGCCTTATTTCTGTGATGTTACTTTACCTATGTAAACAAAAATTTTGATAGAAAACTGTTAGAACATATTATCCGTCAGTGATAGCAGTATTAACAATATGGCACATTTTGTTAAGGGGGGCTATGTTTTTTTTTAAAAATTGTGTGTGTGATGTGTGTATGTGGGGGTGTGTGCATGCCCTAGCGCACGTGTGGAGGTCAGAGGACAACTTTGTGTAGTTTCTCTCCTTCCACCTTTATGTGGGTTCCAGGGCCAAAACTCAGGTGTCAGGCTTGTGTGGCGAGTACTTTACCCACCAAGCTGTCTTGTTGCAGTTCAGATTTTAATTGTTTTGGGTTTCCTCATTATTTTTCCTTTCCTTTCATTCCTCAGAGAACTGAAGCCAAAGCAGTGTCAATGCCAGACAAGTGGAAATTGAGTGGTGTGTACAAGCTGCAGTACACGCATCCTCTCTGTGAGGGAGGCTCTGCTGTGCTCACCTGTGTGCCTTTGGGAAACCTAATCATTGTAAACGGTAACTGAACTATGTATGGTACAGTCAAGGTTGCTGCTTATGAATTGAGTACATAGTTTCTTTCTAAATAGTTTATTGCCAGGCTGCAGTGACTGGCTGTCTTGATAACTGTTCTGAGTCATTCTCTGCTACTAGACCATTTGTGTCTGAAGGATTAAGCATCTGAGGTTGATGTGTGTTGAGGCCAGCTTTTGTACTGTTTTGTCCCATGGGAAGTTGTGATAATAAGAACAGGATGGGTTTCATTATACAGAAACTATTTGAAGAGTGCTTTTTTCTAATGCCTGTCAAGTTGTTCTTTTTATTTACTTGTTTTTAAAGTCTTAAATTGGGATTATGAGGCTGAATTGGGCTTACCGGTTTGATATCACTGACCAGCAATACACAGAAACCCTGCTGTGGTTCTGTGGCCTTGCTGGGGGCATGCTTTGTCTGCCCTCCCCCAGGGAAGTCCCTCTGAGTAAAGAACTTGATTTCCCTGTCTCACATTAGGAAGCTTCACTGGGGTGGCAGTTCATCCCACCTCTGCATTTCATTTTAGCTTGCATGTTGCACAGGTCATTTCCAAAGGTCTCTGGAATGTTCTCATGATCACACATGTTGGAGATGTGTTTGGGTGACCAGGATCTTATGTTTTATTCTTGATGTTTGTTTTGTTTCCTTTGTTTTTATATTTTTGAGAGTGGGTCTTATTGACCTCCTCTTCTTTCTGCCTCTACCTCCCATGTACTGGGATTACAGATGAGCCCCACCATGCCTGACTAACACTGTTGTTTATTTTTGAAGCTATTCTTTCAGCTAGGTAAGCTCATGTGGTGAGATAGATTGACTTTGTGACTCGTTTAGTTTTCCACGTAACTCGGTTGTAGAGCAGAGACTGTTGCTTTACTGTGCCTCAGGTCATGGATTTTCATCATGATCTATAGCTCCTTGTTTTGTTGGATGGAAGTAAGGGGGAAGTCCTTGTTAGCGTCAGCAACACAAAATAATTTTGTTTATTAAGGTCTTATATTTGAAAAAAATTTTTCCTGCTAAAATTTACTTTGGAAAGCTAACTTACGGCATTTTGATCTTTGAAGTAGAAGACAGTTTTTGTTCCCTTCTTAGTAATTTATCTTTTTTTTAATATTTTATTTATTTTATTTTATGTATATGAGTATATTACTGCATGTATGTAATTGCACCTGTGTCGTGCAATGCCTGCAGAGGTCAGAAGAGGGCATTGGATTCCCCTGGAACTGGAGTTACAGATGGTTTTTAGCTGCCATGTGGGTGCTGGGAATTGAACCTGGGTCTTCTGTAAGAGCAGCTAGTGCTCTTCAGACCCATAATTTTTCTTATTTCCTTTTAATTACCAGATTATCTTAAGTGTTACTTAAAAGTCTCAAAATTTTGCTTTAACAGTTTGAATGACCTCACACATTTGTCAGAATGTGACTGTGGTAGCATCAGGACCTAGCAGTGTCTCTTTGGCAGTTTGTCACAAATAACACGTGTAGCATTTAGTTTGACATTTTGCACCCAGAGGTGGCAGCAGTTTCTGTTCTGGTCTAGATCTTGATGCTGCACATCACATTTTGGAAGGTGGAAGTTACCAGATACTAATAATAAATATGAGATGTAATTTTTACCTTAATTTATTACAGAAGTATTTGATGTCATGCATGTCTTGATTTCTTCATTTCTGATGTTTTGCTCTTTACTCTTCTTGACAAATCAGTGATTACAGACTCTCATGGTAGCTAGCCATTCCAGGCTTGAGTCTTTGAAAAGGAGCAGTGTGTCTTTAAACCTTTCCTTTATGTGCATGAGCCTATCACTAACTCCTATAAGGACTGAGATGAGCACACCTTTGTGTACAAGACTAAAATTGAATTTTCTGATGTCAGGAATACTCTTTTGGGTCTAGAGAGTGAATGATGCTGTGAAAATTAACAGGATTCTTTTTTTTTTGGTCTTTTTGAGACAGGTTCTCCCTGTAGCCCCAGCTGGCTTGCTGGCTTGGAACTCACTATGTAGACCAGGCTGGTCTTGAACTTACAGAGATCCGCCTACCTCTACCTCCCAAATGCTGGGACTAAAGGCGTGCACCACCACGCCTGGCAGAAATTAGCAGGATTTTTTTTTTTTTTTTGGTCTTTTTGAGACAGGGTCTCCTTGTAGCCCCAGCTGTCCTGGAACTCACTATGTAGACCAGGCTGGCCTCAAACTCAAAAAGATCTGCCTGCCTCTGCCTCCCAAGTGCTGGGATTAAAGGTGTGCACCACCATGCCTGGACATACAGGATTCTTTTAGTGAACAAGGATTGGCCATTACCAAGTGTTAAAATAAGATAAATCAGTGGTGCTTTTAGTGACTTTGCTAGAAATAATGTTTTCATTGTATTTATTTGCCTCCTGTTGGCCTTGTTGCATATCTCTCAATTACTACCAAGCTGCTGGTGGTGACATGTAGTGGACTGCATATTAAGATACTTACTGTTGTCTTTAAAGGTGGTGTCTGAAGGTGGTTACTCAAAGCAGGTTTATATTTTTTACCTTGCTGCAAGGGGAAAAGTAGGCAGAGTGGTTTGTTTGGAATACTGTGTCCTCAGTGTATTGGAGGCAAGGAGATGAAATCCTGCACTAAAAAGGAAGGAGTGGGTGAAGTGACAATGATTTTATCATCTTTTTTTCTTTTATTTACAGCTACACTAAGAATCAACAGTGAGATTAAAAGTGTGAAAAGATTGCAGTTGCTGCCAGAATCCTTTGTTTGCACAGAGCAGCCAGGTGAAGTAACCCTGACTTAACTTCTGGAATGAATCTTTGAGAGGTTCACTGAAAAACAAAACAGAGCCTGAAAAATAATGTTCAAAAGACTATTTCTAAATGAGAGTAATGCAGATCCCAAGACAGTGGTAAGAATGCAGGTATTTGGGGGCTAGGGGTATAGCTCAGTGGTAAGCATTTGCTTAGTATGTACAAGGCCCTGGGTGCCATCTCCACCACAAATGAAGGGGGAAAAAGCATATGATTACAGGGAGGAGTTTGTTTCTTATTTTTTCTAAGGTCTTGGGTACTGAATTATGTTTACACTGTTATGAATAATACTTGTATATAGTTCATCACACTGATGCTACTTTGTAGTGTCTGTGCTAATCTTTGTATATCTCTCTAGTGTTGTATTTAACTGATACAGAGATTTATATTTTATGTAGTCATTCAGTGTATCTTGCTGAATATTAATGGAGGAAAAATTGTACTTGAATATTTTTAATCCAAATTTAATATAGATATTATTTGAGATTAGAACTTTCCTAAAAATTTGTGTTCTCGGTATGGTTTTTCCTATATTCTTTTTAAAATTTTGATTTATTTTTTAATACTTTATAATATTTTTTGTGGATGAGTGTATTATCTGTATGTATGCAAGTTCACCTGTGTCGTGCAGTACCTGCAGAGGTTAGAAGAGGGCGTCAGATCCCTTGGAACTGGAGTTATGGACAGTTGTTAGTTGCCATGTGCATGCTGGGAACTGAGCCCAGGTCCTCTGCAAGAGCAGCCAGTTTTCTTAACTATTGAGCCATCTCTCCAACTCCCTCTATTCTATAAAGTTATTAACAGGTACAAAAAAGACAGGTTTATGTTTTTACAATTTTTCAATTAACCCTGAACTATGAGAGACAGGTGGTGAGCAGAAGTGGTGGGATGGAGAGGCGAATAAGATGTATCTTTCCTGTTCTGTTTTGTGCTGGCATACATGTTTAAGTGTGCCATTCCCTTCAATCCTCACGGTAAACTGAGGGGAATATTGAGAATCGGGGAGTGTTGGGTATAGGAGGGAGATGGCATTTACCACACCATCTCTTAGGGAAGACTGACTTGATTCAGGTTGTTGCTTTGAAGGCTTGTTTTTGTGAGTTTGGAGAGGAGATCAAGCCCCGATAGACTGACTTACTAAAAAGCTGATGGAAAAGGAACAGTAGAAAACATGTTTATAATGCTCTCTGGATTGACATAGATTCAGAAGTTGGGCACTAACCTTGCTGTTCTCCTTTACACTGTCACTCCTCCAAGGAGCTTTTGGACCCCTACCCCTGCCACACAGTCTTTCCTGTGAAACTTCAGTACCGCAGATATATTCCATCCTCACTTACATATGGTACCCTTTCTAGGGTTCTAAACCATTCCTCTCCAAGAGCCAGTTCTGTCCAGTGGGTGCTCTTGCTTCTCCTGACATTGCATGCACTGGACGGGTGAATCTGTAAGTAAACAGCCGCTGCAGGATTGACTTTTTTGGCCTGGAGAGATGGCCCAGCAGTTAAGGGCACTGACTTCTCTTGCAGAGGACCTGGATTCAGTTCCCAGCATCACATGGTGGCAACAATGTCTGCAACTCTAGTTCCTGAGGGTCTGATGCCCTCTTCTGGCCTCTGCAGGCATTGCATGCATGGGTGCACTTATATTTATGTAGGCAAAACAGTCATACACATAAATAAGTCTTATTACAGACTGACTTTTCCACAAAACTAGCTACACAATGCCTTGCAGCTGTCATGTTAAAACATGCCTTAGACACACATACAGACATGAAACAAGCCACCATTCTTCAACAATTTAAGCAAAAGTAAAATGCCTAAGGGATGACATGATTGCAGAGAGAAAAGATGTGAAGAAAATTGGTTTTCACATTTGAACAAAGGCCTTGAGCCAAATTGATTTTCTCTTTAATGATGTCTTTGTCTTGATGTTTTCACATCAGATTTCAAACTTGAACACAGGTTTATAACAGCAAATATTTAGAGTTTAGTGGCATTTCTCTCTCTGCTCTCACTGGTCTTATAATGAGCATGCTGCTGTCATGGTAAAATATGTAAATGCAGGGCGGAAGTGTAAATTGTGACATGCTGCTAGGCGCTGTGCATGGACCCTCAAGTCTCAACAGTTTTTCTTTGGAGTAGTGGTGGTGTTTCCTTTAAATAGACAAGTGAGGATTAGAGGAGTTAGGAATTGGCCCAGGATTGTACACCAGTAGATACTAAAACTGAAGTGGGCTCGTCAGGTGCAGTTTAGTCCTGCTTTACACACTAATGTACTTGTCAATCACCTGAGCTCTAAATAAAATGCTGGTCCTGACCAGGAGGGCTGTGGCTGGGTCTCAGAGTCAGAATTTCTTAATAGTGCTCCAGTGGTGGTAACTGTGTTCAGTTGCACTTGCATAGCAGTGTGGTGGCTTAAAATGAGTACTTTGGAGCCAGGCACTCTTAGATTTGTACTCTCTACACCCTGTCACTTATGGGGCTGTGGTCAGGCTCTCTACTTTGTCCTGTTTTTAAAGGGCATAATCGTACTTTTCTCTCACTTAGGGGAGAACTGCTGATGTGAGAGGAAGCTTGAGAAATGCTTGCCCTGTTCTGACCCACATCTGTCATGTGATAAGTACTGTTGTTTTCCTGGGCTTCAGGCTCCATAAGAATATTTCCCCACTGTGTACAGAGCCCAGAACAAATTGGTGGGTAGTCAGTAAGCTACTGTATCTATAAATCTCACAACAGTTTTCTTCTACAGCCTGTAATCTGTAAGTTGAATCTAGCTCTCTTAGTTTGAGATCACCTATTAATTTTTATACCTGAGATTCAGTTTTGTTGGTCATGCACTGTACCTCCTTTTGTTTCTGTTTTTCCCTGTAGTTGCTCATGAGTATTCAACACTTGGATGTGATTTGGCACAAGTAGAAGACAGACATCATTTCAGGTTTTCCTACTTGGTTTTGTGTTTTGATTTTTAATTTTTACAAACACTCTAGGGGAAAATGCAGCCAAGGTGTACAAAGACCTTCAGAAGCTCTCTCGCCTCTTCAAAGACCAACTGGTGTACCCTCTTCTGGCTTTTACCCGACAAGGTGAGAGGTGACAATCGTTGCAGGTTAAATGTTTGGAAAGAGTAGCCTTAGCGCAGCAGTCATGTTAACTCTGAGATCTTGCTTCTCCCTTTCCTCTTCTGCTAAAATTCTGCTTTAAGACGACTTCACTGTTTATTCCTTAAGTGTTACCTGTGTCTTTGTACATGTTCCCATAGCTTTTTTCATTCTCTTCTTTTGAGACAGAGTCATCTCACTGTATAGCCCAGAGTGGCCTCTAACTTGCTGGGTAGCCCAGGCTGACCCTGAACTTGCAGTCCTCCTGGCTCAGCCTCCCTGCCACACCTGATTTCCATTGCCATGATACTTTTTCAATGTAAGATTGTGATTTGAAGGTAAAGAATATGTCAGTTTTGCATTTTTATAGTCTGGCCCCTAATAGGTGATCAGTAAACATAATGTATAGCATGTAAAATGTTTTCTTCTAAGTTTTCCATTCAAAAAATTGTATTGCATTTATTTATTTAGTGCATGCATGCACATGTACCACAGTGCATGGCACACATGTGGTGCTCAGAGGACAACTTGTAGGAGAGTTGGTTTTCACTATGTAGGTCCAGAGGATTGAACTTAGGTTGTCAGGTTTGGCAACAAGCACCTTTCCTACTGAGCCATCTGGCTAGCCCCCATTTTTCTTTTTTCTTTTTGTTGTTCTTAAAATTTTTTAAAGAGTTTTTATCATTTTTAGTTATGTGTGTATTTGTGGGTATGTACACATGCGTGCAGGTACCTGTCGAGTTCAGAAGAGGGTGTCAAATCCCCTGGATCTGGAGTTAGAGGCAACTGTTCTACATGGGTGTTGGGAACTGAACTCAGGTCTCCTGCAAGAGCAGTACCTGCTCTTAACCACTGAGCCGTCTCTCCAGCCCCAATTTTTCTTTCTTTAAAACACATTTATTGGGGCTGGAGAGATGGCTCAGCAGTTGAGAATACTGACTGCTTTTGCAGAGGACTCAGGTTTGATTCTCAGTACCCACATGGCAGCTAACAGCCATCTATAACTCCAGTTCCAGGAGATCCGACACCACCTTCTGATCTCCGTGGGCATCGCACAACATGTGCACTTACACACATGCAGGCAATATACTCATACACATTAAAAATAAAATAAATAGGGGCTGGAGAGATGGCTTAGTGGTTAAGAGCTCTGACTGCTCTTGCAGAGGACCCAGGTTCGATTCCCAGCACCCACATGGTGGCTATGAACTGTCTTTAACTCCAGTTCCAGGGGAATCTGAAGCCCTCTTCTGACCTCCGTGGCAATGCATGACACAGGTGAGCTCACATACATGCAGGTAATACACTCATACACATAAAATAGAAATAATAAAATACTTAAAAAATAAT